ACCATCCCATCTCCAACCTACCCTTCCTTGCCAAAGTCCTGGAACACATTTGTGCAGGTCAACTTCAGTCACACCTCTCCCTCCTCGAGCAGCCCACAGCACAGAGGCAATGCTTGTCAAAGTCACAAATGACATTCTCTCTATCTGTGACCAGGGCTCCCTTTGTCTCCTCATCCTCCTGGATCTCTCTGCCGCGTTTGACACAGTCGACCACACCATCCTCCTCCATCGGCTCTCCTCCCTCATCAACCTTAGTGTGATTGCACTCGCATGGTTCGAGTCCTACTTAACCAACCGCCTCCATTTCATCTCAACAAATAGTTTCTCCTCCCACCCGCAGCCCAATCACCTGTGGGGTACACCAGGGTTCCATCCTTGGCCCTCTTGTTTTCCTTATCTATATGCTCCCTCTGGGCGATGTCAGCCACAGATATGGGGTAAACTTCCACATGTATGCTGATGACACACAAATTTACTTTGCCTCGTCCAGTACCAATTCCAGATCTGCTGATGTTCTATTAGCTTGTCTGGCAGACGTCAAAGCTTGGATGAGTGTAAACTTCCTGCAGCTGAATATGGACAAGACAGAAGCTATACTCCTTGGTTCCTGTTAATCTCTTCACTCCTGTGGATCTAAACTCCTCAACCTCCCTGGGATCTCCCTCACACTCACCAAACCAGTGAGCAATCTAGGTGTCTGGTTCGACCCCCAATTGTTCTTCCTCCCCCACATCCGGTCCATGACCAGGATGGCCTTCTTCCACCTCCGCCACATAGCCCGCCTCCAACTGTACCTTACCCCAAATGCACCTTGTGCATGCGGATCGACTTCAAGATCCTCATTCTCATGTTCAAATCCATTCACTCCCTGACACTTCACCAGCCTCCTGCTTGTCCCTTGCACCCTCCACACTATGCCCCAAAACTCTGGAACACTCTCCCTCAATCCCTCTGCTTTACCCACTCTCTCCCCTCTTTCAAATGTTGCCTGAAAACGTTCCTGTTCGACCGTGTTTACGGCTACCTCCCACCTCCCCCCAGCTCGGAGTCAGGCTTCGCCATTGTTAAGTGCTCTGAGATGCTACCCTGTGTGGAGGGCATTATATAAGTGCAAGTTGTTGTTGTTATGGGTAGGGATTGAGCTGAGCTGTGGACATTATTGCCATAACTGTATAGCCTGTTACAATTATCTGTCTTTATGCGCTTCAACACTGACCACAGTAGAAATGTTTCAACTAGGTGTGTTGTTTTAATCTGTGGTTTATTCACAGGAAAAAAAACACTTATATATCTTTATGTAGGATAATCTCTTAGAGTATTGTTTACTGGAAGGTTGGACACCGAGCAAGGGAGAAGGGGAGGTGACTGTCGGAGAAGAGGTGAAGGCGGAGAAACTTTGAGCAAATTAACTATGCAAATTAATTAATTTAAACTAATTTTATCATTAAATTCTGGAATTCACTTCTGATTTTGGCAAACAAAAGTAGGCTGTGCTTTAAGAGTTCAGTGTTTCCTTCTTACTATGATTGCTAAAAATAGTGATTTTGTTTGCTATGTTTAGCAATCAGTATAAGACGGAGCCCAATGCCTGGAAATACAGTAGGTTTGAGACTTTGAAATCTCAACAGGGATTTGCAGTAGAGATGTCACAGATGATATGACCTTGTGAAAATATATTATCTGAAATTTGTAATTTCACTGCAGAAAATATCACATTTTAAATAACCCAAATCTATCAAATTGTTATATTCTTTCATTGTGATATCAATATATAATCGCATAGATGTCCTGGCAACTAAGATACACATTTTGTTCATGAGAAGAAGGCTATTATAATTTACTATTGTTCACTATACTGTTCTTCCAATCAAGACTTCATGAACCACAGCTGAAATCTGCCTGTTCAGGTTGTTAAAGATCCCATGGCACTATTCGCAAATTGAGGGGAGTTTCTCCTATTATCCTGGTCAACAATCTCCCAGATTTACATTGGTCTTTCACTTTATGGCTATTTAGGGGACATTTCTGTGCTCATATTGGCTGCTGTATTCACTTACAAACAAAGTCATTTTCCAGTAAATTTTGTGAAGCAATTTTGAGATGTTTTTACATTGTTTTAAAGCTCAAATGTAAAGGCTTTTTGTTAATTATTAAACATAATATTGTGTAACTTTGGTTTAAGTCTCCTGTATTGAAGTATACAGGTTTGGTAATTTTATTTTTATTAAATAATCACATTCCCCTTATGATCAAACCATTTCTATATAAACTATATCTAGAGTGCTAACTAGATGACGGAAGAGTACTTGGATTGTTTTAGATTCAGTTGAGACATTATCTCAGTTATTGGCATTTCAGTGCTGAAAGATAGAAGCTGCAGTGTCTGAGGTCCCAGTTCTGTCCGCAGTTATGGGTGGACCTACAGACACATGGACCAGTAAATAATTTACTCAATGACTGGCTGCTTTTTCAATAAAGTGCTTATTAGCACTATCACTGATAATTGACACCTCACACATTGCAATTTTCACTCCATCATGTGCAGTTTAGGTTCCCTTCCTTGAACAGAATATTGACATACTGGAGAAATCAGGATGATTATGGGACTTGATTGCCCTTTGGCTTGAGGGAGTGAAGTTAATGCTAGGTTATTTTCTGCGGAGGGAGTTGGGTCAATGTTTTTTTTCATTTGCAGGCTTTATTATATTCATGCAGATTACTAAAGTTTCTCCTTTAAAGTGTTAGGATGAGTAGAACTGCGAGAGATATTGGCTTTACTTTCTTGACCGGGTTTATCAGGCTGTGGTACCCTGGTCAACTAGAATAGGCTCAATAACTGTGATTGTGACCACCCTGGTGGAGGAGGATCTTTTGGATGTAGGACCTTGTACACTCACCTATGTGGACACTCGGGGAATGCCCTTTAACTAATATTGATATAAGAGAACTGATCATGACTGCTCTCTCACTGAATGATTGAATGATCTTTACCAGAAAAAACTGGGAATAGATATAAACTACCTGTATCCCTTTGTTGGAATTTTTATTTTTCATTTTAAAGCTATGAGGAGCACTTGCACTTTGCTGCAATTCACATGGCCTGGTTTCACTTGCTTCTCTTGCAGAAAGACTCCGACGTAGTATGCCAAATTTGGCTCGTTCTGTAAGCAGTACTTGCTCACCAGACTCTGTCAGAAACAGCAGAAGCTTTGATTCAAACCTACACAATGGACTCTCACGACTCCAGTCACCAGCAAGTGAGTAGAAGCTCCTCTCATTAGATTATGTATGTGAACAACTATTATTGTGTGAGATTAGTTCTCTGGTGAACAAAATGTCTGTACATAATGTAATCTTCTTTTGCTGCATGATGTGAAAGTATAGTTTTCTCTTTGTGGTTATAAGTTCAGTGTTGGCTGAATAACTCAAATATTATGTCCACAAAAAATAATTATTGCAATAAGTGAAATTATGGTCTCTTGTTTCTTTTCAGTTCTTTTCTCTCATCTTGTTCCACCTCAGTTGTTCAGCTTCTATTGTCTCCTTGATATGTACTTGCCATCAGCAGTTGACATTTTACTGTCAAACTGAGAAAAAATCACCAACGTGTTTGTAAAATACAAATTGTGATTTAGGAAAAAAATTGCAAATTATAATTTAGACAGATAGAATGTCTATGCATTGAAACTCAAATGTTCTCCATGTTGCCAGTGTGAGAGATGAGAGGGATCAAGGGTGAGTTTTTTGAGGAGGGGTGTGATGGTAGCGGTTTTCAGGGGGAATGGAACAGAGACTTAGGAGAGAGCCTGGTTGACTATGTCGCCCAGCAGAGGGGAGAGAAGGGGGATTTGAGTGACCAGCAGCTGGGAGGGGAGGGGGTTGAGGTAGCAAGTGGTGAACTTCATCCGGGTGATTGTGGTTGAGAGGAAAGAGGGAGAAATGGGGGCAAAGGAGTGTAAGGAGGGGGGAGTGGCAGGAGCCGTAGTGGAGGGAGAAGGCAGTGTGGATGGTCTGGGTGGGGTGGAAGGGAATATGGTGGGGGAGGACGATGCAACCAAGCGGATGTTTTCAATTTTTGAGGCAAAGAAGTCTAGGACCTCTTTGCATTTGGTATTTGACGTGAGGATAGAAGGGGCTTGAGGGGGCGCACGGAGGAGGTGATGGATGGTGGAAAACAGCATCTATCGAATGTTGTTTGCCTCCAGGATGACTTTGGGGTAAAAGTCAGTTTTGGCCTGTGAAAAGGAGAGGCGGTAGGTAACAACGAGTGCAATGTATTAAGAATGTGATTCGTCCCCCCTTAGATAATCTCCTATGACGTAGGCACAAAAACACAAAATAAAATACAGTCTAATCTTGAGACTGTAGCTTTTTTTTAAATGGAAACTTCTGGAAATAGTTTAGGGCAAAACAAGATTAAGCTGCAGAGAAGCAAATTCATTACTGATGTTCTAAAGAGAACAGAACAGAATGGAGATCAAACATGATCGATGTTTTATATTACAACTAAAAGAACAAAAAAAATGATTCATAAAAGGCAAAGGGAGCAAATCTTTTTCTCCACAAATGAAAATTTCCGATATCTAGAATAGTGGAATTCCAACTTTTTATTCATTTTTGGTTTTTTGAAAAAAATCTCTGCTCTATTCAAATACACATTGTTTAAAACACAAAGACAGATACACAGTATGAACTCAACTCAGAAATAATACTGTTAAATGTCACAAGAAGAGTTTTTTTAATGAAATCAATGTCTTTTTTTAAAAAAAATGATATATTGAACTCTGCAGAAAAGTGTTGCTGAAAGTAAGTCTGGAGTAAGATGGGAAAAGAAAGAAATCTACCGGGGTTGCCTGAAGGCTATTACTTCAAATGATGGTTCAGGTTGGCTGCGCAATCAAATCAAGTAATGAATTTGCTGATCTCACTCCCAAAAATGTCTGCAGGATCCAAATGAACTGGTAGCTTGCTCTGTCAATCGTCTGTGTTTGCAAATTAGCTCAGTTGAGAGATGCAGTATTTAAGAGGGCAAGGCAAACAATTGTTCTTTCACATGGCAGATGTGTACTTCTGCTGTAGTGTCACCAATGTTTCACAGACAAACTTTATTTTTAAAATCAGAAGAGATTGTTAGAAAAAAGTTTAATATAAAAAATATTCTATTTCCAATTAGAAAAATGAATTGCAAGAGGGCAAAAGAAACATCAAAAGCACCCTGGTTTCCTCTGCAGATAACTTATTTCCCCATCCTCAATTAATTTCTTGGTGCTTTCGTATTAATCTAAGAAGAAGCATAACACTAGAGTTATTGCCATCTGCTCAACATATTTCACATGCATAATTTAACACAAAATCATAAGATCTGAAGAAAATTACGCGACCTGGAGAATGACATGTCAAAATCATTCAAAAGGATATTCACAACATCCCTTCACTTATAACCAATCAGATGTTAAAAGACTTTAAGAAACAATTTGTAGCAACTTCTGAATATAGTGCCAGATAGCAACAACAAAACTGCACAAAATATGATATTGACTTTTGACCCAGCTGTTTTTGTGTATACAAAAGCGAGTATCACTATTCCATTGGGACAGTAGTCAAGCTTATAGAAACCACAGTGCAGATTTGTAAAGAAGGACATTATTGCAGAGGAATTAAATTTCACATTTGCAGACAGTGTTGGACAAAATTCAGAGCCATACAAGCACTTTTTGATCATTTTGTCCATTGAGACCAAATTCAACACCGAGATATAGTCTTTGTGAAGTAAGGCATGTAATCTACAATGTTCTCTGGGTCACAGAAGCAAATAGATAAAAAATGTTTTAAAGGCATTTTCAAGGATAATTTTAAATGGACCAATTCAATCAATTCCTTTTAGCAGAATAACCCATTCACCACCACATTTGATTCACTCCCTGTCTATGATCTGCTGAACTCACTTTTATTAGCTATACTGTAGTATCTTGTAGAAATAAAATGCACAGACTCTATGCTTAAGTACTATTTGAATTGAACTGCAGGTATAAATATTAATCTTGGAGAGCAAAGCAAACAAAACATTGAATATATAATCATGGTTTTATTAATCCTTAGACGTTTACCTGCATTTGGTCTGTACTGCTGTTGATCCGATATGTGAGTTGATGGGTAATAGGTTGGATAACCACTGGAATGTAAGTAGGAGGGAGGGGTGGGACCTCTTCTGCATTCTCTAATGCTGGCAAAAGTCTGTGAATGTGGTAAACTTCGTAAAGGTGGAGAGCACCTTGTGAGCCGAGGCTGGGGAGGAAGATGATCAAATTCCTCCTCATCTTCTAAACTGTAGCAGTCATACTCCTGATCACTGCCAGTCCCTCGCCTTCCTGAATACAATGAGGTGCTGGAGCTGCGTTGGGAGGCAGTTGTCGAAGTGGAAGCATAATCCTGTCTTAGACCTGGTGAGCAGAAAAGAAACAGAGGAAAAATAAGTAGCAGTTTCCACCTGTGTGCAGAAGTAATTTAAAGAATGAACCTCAAATAAAATGCCAATTCCATGGTCAAATTCTGCAATACAACAGCTTGCATTTATATAGAGCCCCTCACCAGGGATGCGTCAAGAAGGATTTGACAGTGGCTGAGCACAATGCTAAAACCGAAAGCTCAAAATAGTTAATAAAATGTGATATGCTATTCAGTGTACGGTAGTACAAAATGTATCTTATGTAAAAATATATTTAAAGTATTCTAGAAAACTAATAATCCAAAGATTTAAGATAGTCCTTTTAGGATTTAACTCACTGACGATTAAACCGGTGATGTACAACAACAAGATTACATTTGTATAGCGCCTTTCACGTCGGGAGGATGTCCCAAGGCTCTGGACAGTGTACAGCATTTCAGACCCGAGCTGGGGTCAGGGGTGGAGAAGGGAGGGGAGGTGAAGGCGGGTGACTAATGGAATGGTCGAAGAGGATAATATGTACGTGGTAATGTTATAATTAAATATTGTTTTACAAAAAAATGGCATCAGATAGAGTATTAAGGAAACGGATAACGTCTATAGATAGCAAGCAATTCCAAAGCAAACTTCAATTTCATCTCCTTTGTGCACATTTTTGGGAAATCATTTCTAATTAAATCTTGCTTAAGATCAATTTTCTTCCCAGTTAATAACTGATCTTATAAATAAGATATTTAAACCATATTGATGCAAAAAATATGAAAATTAATGGTCACCACAAACAATCTATAGTTTCAGAAGCAGAGATAAAGCACATATAAATATTTTTAGAAAGAAATTTCAAACATTTATTTAAGAATCCTTGGAAAAATATGACATGAAATAATTCTTCCAAAGGAATAGTAGCTTACTACATTTTAATTAGGGATCATATAACTGCAATATATGTAGGAAAAGTAATAGCACACACTGACTGGGGGGAAATGGGCAAAAATTAAAACTACATGGTTCGGAGAAACTGTTAATATAAAATAATCACAAAAGATTTTCAAAAGATTATTCCAATCTGCAATTATATTCTGAAGAAAGTGTTTATCATTGTTACACATGTGTCTTTGATTTCTGCCCAGAAAAATAAAGAACAAAGAGGTCAAATCAAATGCAGGACTTATATTAATAATACTTAAATTTGATATAGTGCTATATCACATTGAAACATCTCAAAACACATCATGTGATTTACTGTAGTGACTGTATATTTTGTAGGCAAACAATTCAACCAATCTGCAAGCAGCAATGTTCCATAAACAGCCACAAAGTGAATGATATATTCTTCCTTCCGGAGGATTGTTACCTATGACGCCAGGAGAGAAACGCCTTTCTATTTTTGAATAGTGCAATGGAATCTTTAACATCCAACTCAATTTAACATAGGCACCTTCAACAACAACAAGATTACATTCATATTTCGCCTTTCACGTCGGGAGGACGTCCCAAGGCGCTGGACAGTGTATAGCATTTCAGACCCGAGCTGGGGTCAGGTGGGGAGAAGGGAGGGGAGGGGAATGGGAGTGGCCGATGGCATGGTCGAAGAGGAGGGTCTTGAGGCGAGACTTGAAGGAGGCTAAGGAGGGGGCGAGGTGGAGTCAGTGGGGGTTGGAAATCCAGAGGTTGGGGGCAGAGTGGTTGAAGGCTCTCCCACCAATGGTGGGGCGAGTGAGTCGGGGGTTAGGAGCAGGCAGGAGCCGGCTGAGCGAAGGGAGCGGGCGAGTTGATAGGGGGTTAGGAGGTCGCAGAGGTAAGGTGGGGCAAGGCCATGAAGGTGAGGATCAGGATCTTGAACTGGATCCTCTAAAGGATAGGGAGCCAATGGAGTCGGGTGAGAATGGGGGAGATGGGGTCATGGAGTTTGGTGCAGGAGAGGACACGGGCTGCAGAGTTCTGGATTATCTACAGCCTGTGGAGGGAGGAGTTGGGAAGGCTGACAAGCAGGGCAATGGGACAGCACTCCTCTAGCACTGCATTGCAGTGTCAGCATAGAGTCTAAGTTCAAAGTCACAACTTGGGACTTGAACTCACAACCTTCTAACTCAGAGGGAAGAGTGTTACCAACTGAGCCAGGCTGACATGTAATTTTAAGTGCTATATGCCTCAGTATTTGGAAATGCAGGAGTAATCTATTAATGTTGCTCAGCATTTCTTTTGGTCAGCCGGGTGTCTGACACATGAGGAAACCCTTCACTATGCTTAAGAGTATCCAAACCAAACTGAGAGTTCAATGCATCTCACCAACCCATGGAAATTCCAGAGATATTTATTGGAATGGAATGGTGCACTCTTTCCCTGGAGGGACACATCATGCTTACCTAATTCTGGAAAGTATGAGGCGCAGGTTGGCAAGAGCGAATGCTTGGAGTCTAACCAGCTAAAACTGCAGTTTGTCATTGAGAGCAACTTTTCCTGTTGCATGTCCAACTAGGGCTACCCTAGCCGTTAGGGATTTGGCTTGCAGGATTAACAGGAGCTGAGTGAAAAGAGTCCCTGCTCTCAGTGACTGGTCTGCCCCTCCAAGTCCTATCGATGAGCCATCCTGGCTGTGCTGCTTTAGGGGTGCTCTAGAATATGATAGACACCCCTGATTCAGAAACCGTACTACCGAGGCCGCTACAGAGAGCTGGCTCGATTCTGGCAGTCCATTGCCAAACATGTCACCATGGAGCCAGTGGCAAAGAGGAGTCAATTCAAAACCTAAAGCATAATAATTAGATAACAACACCTTCTTAACACGACAACAACATTCCTTGACTTAAAATTAAACTATTGATGTGACACTTACTTTCCTCTTGTAGCCTTGCCATGATCTGGACATCGGTCAGGTCTTGTAGTTTATAACCCATAGAGATGGACTCATCATCTAGCTCAGAAGTGCTCAGTTCACTGTCTAAGGATGACTGGGGGCTGAGTGGAAGATTTCTTATAAAACCTATGAATAGATGTTAAATAAAACCAAGTCACAATAAATAAAGGATTGCATTTTGTTAGCTAACAAAAAAAAAGAGGGAAAAACCTGAGGTTACACAAGTTGAGATTCTGAAAACTTTTTAAACCATCTTTCAAAAAAGAGGAATTTAACAGCACAGAAGGCAATTCTATACTTAATAAATAATAATAATAACAATAATCCTTGTATTTAATATAGCACCTTATCATGTCTTCGAGACATCTCAAAGTGCTTCACAGAATATACTATAAAGTGAATTGACTATATGGTGGGCGAAAAGCGGCAGCCAATTGCGTACACTCGTGTCCCGCAAACAGTCGTGGATTGAAGTGACCAATTTTTTTTTGAAGAAATTATTACCCCCAGAAAAGCGATCCGTTAATTGCCTAACAACCAGGTTCCTACTTACTGCTAGCTCAACAGAGGCATGTGGAGTAAGAAAACTTGCTCAAAAATTCACCCTGCCGGGAGTCAAACCCAGGTCGCTCGCTTGCGAGGCGAGTGCTCTAACCACTGAGCTATAGGACTCCAATTCTACCTGAGAGAGAGAGAAACCAGATTGCCAGGATACAGGAAGAAAATAGCATTGTGCTCAGGGGCAACTTGAAAAAAATCTCATACTCCATTTATGCATTCCATAAATCATAGAAAATACATATTTTTAAATATCCTTATAAACTGTCTATAATTTTTCTCAGAGGCCAAATATTTTTTTCTATTATGTCATCACCATTGACAGGTATCTGGCCCATGATTTTGGTGTGATTTAATCAATTTAAAAGTAAGTAGTTTAAAGTAAGTTATATGGTGCAACTGGCTTAAGTAACAAATGTGGGTCCATTCAACTATTGGCAAAGATACAAATATTTGATTTAAATTAAATCATTCCACACTGCTCTCTCACACCTCAGAACAGGTCAAAGCAACCCTCTCTTAGGCTTAGTAATAAAATAAGAATTTTCTTTGAACCAGCAGAATTGGCTTTGTAAAGCTCATCGATTAAGAATATGGAGAATATAAAGCATTTATTGCATGTGTATGGCAACCTTTAGGGATTGGGTCAGAGCAAGAAAAATCCATTACTGTTGTTCATACATAGAATGTGAAGTAGTTTTATCAAGAACAGCTTGCATTTATAAGAAAAGCGGTGTTGGTGTGCAGGCTTTTCAAAAGAATACCAAGAAGAAACAATTTTATTAGCCTATTAGTAAAAGTGTCATTAAGATGGAAAAGATCCAATATATTCTTTAGAAAACTGCTTTGCTTTTTCAGAATTGAAATTGAATAGTAAAGGCTCATGTGAAGGATTTACAGATGTTATCGATGCAGATCTGCAAATATTGAACTTAGCAAAAAACACACAATAAATGTAACTAAAATTTAAGGCATTAGCATTCTATGTAGCTCAAAAAAAAGTATCACTTTTTAAAGTTTTTAAAAATCAACAAGGTCTAAATTGGAGCTGAAAACTGAGCTAGATACAACATTACAATATTAAGAGTGCACATGAGTATCGCAGTGAAAGGAAAATCTTGTTTTGACTGACTGACATATGGGGAAAACCATCACCATTCTCAAGAATATCCAAACCAGAATGAGAGTTCTAAAATGATATGTCACGTACACATGGAAATTTCCATGGTCTGGAATGGGATTTGAAGTCCCACATCCGGCTTACCTAATTCTGCAGAATATTAATAAGAATAAGAATAATAATCCTTGCATTTGATATAGCGCTTTTCACGTCTTCTCGATGTCTCAAAGCGCTTCACTGAATAGACTGTAAAGTGAATTAACTGTATATTTGTGGGCAAAACGCAGCAACCAATTGCTCACAACAGTGTCCCACAAACAGTCGTGGATTGAAAATGACCAATTTATTATTGTTTTGTTTTGGAGGGATTATTATTAGGTGCAAGTTGGCAAGAGCTAAGGCTTGGGGACCTCAGAGTGTGTGTTGTGATACTGTTGGAGTTTAACCTGCTCAAACTGCATAACTTGTTATTGAGAGCATTGTCTGGCAAGCTTCCCAGTGCTTGTCTTGGTCTGACTTGCAAGGTTAACAGAATCTGAATGGGAAGCTTCCCTTCTGACTGGTCTGTCATTAGCAGTTCCCTGGAGTACCGTGACCTGCCTGGCTCAGGAAATGGACTACCAAGATTGACACAGAGGGCTGACTTGATTCTGATATTCAGTGGCCGAGGAAAATCATAGGTAATTACTTCTGGTAAATTTTATGTCAATGAAACATTAACAAAGTTGAACTGATTTTGAAGAAAACAGTTTTAAAAAATGTCAGCAATTACTTTGTAACAGATGAGGGTGTTATGTTGACTTTTTTAAGACATTATGCTGGACACATCAATACATTGCTGAGCAAATGAAACTCCCCTGCATCAAAGTCTGGATAAAGGTGACTTCTATATCTACTTGGCCATCTTCCATTAATGATTGACTATGGGATCCTGAATCAAGAGAGAGCTCCTTCCATGTAGAGAAAACACATAGAATCAGGAATAAGGCATTTAACCCATCAATCCTGCTCCATTGTATTAGTTCCTGATAATTCTTCATCAATTGATTTCTCCCTATTTTCCATATCCTATTCTTATAGCTAGCCTCAATGACCACTTATTAATCTTGTGCATGATCTTACTTGGCAATTTTTTTGTCCTCATAAAAAGGAAGATTTGTGAAACAGACAAAGATGTTGGCTTGTAATAGTCCTGAAGCAAGTTTGCTGCCTCAGCAATTTGAGGTTCAAATTAGCTTTCAAGCTGCTGGAGTCTCTGTTGAGATTTTCATGGCAACTGGACAAAAACACACACTACGTGTGGCTGGTATTAGGCAAGGCCGTAGTCACATGAACAGATTCTGAAGACGTTTTGTTGAATTTATGCCACGATTTCAGTAATGTAGTTAGCTCAAGTTAATAAGAGGGGGAAAAAAGAGTATAACGTTACAGCAGTGAAAAACAGCTACATTTACAGAGTCAGCAAAGAACTGTAAATCTTTAGTTCATATGATAGCAGCTGCCAGTTGAACTACAAATATGGCAAACTCAGTGTATTAGTATTTTTGCTGAAAGATTTGAGTTTCCCACATTATGCCAAATTTGCTGTAATAGAGACTGAAAAAGGCCATTTTGTTCAGGAGCTTTTGATGTATCTGTTAAAAGAAAATCAAAAAATATTGCTACATATATATGATGTATTGTAATTTGGTAGCTTCCAAATACAAAGCATTGGTTTGTATACCCCTCCAAGTCTTATTATTGAGCTGGATTAACAATAATGTCTGAGTTACTGCAGGCAGTTTAGAGTTTCCTTGAATGTCACCTGTCGACCTCTTTCTGAGGAGGATATTTTTAGATACAATGTTCATTTTATGGAAAAGGGTGAAGAACTGATGGATCAAAAAGCATTTTAACACAAATCGTTCAGATCCCAAATTCGATCCCATTTGATTAAGATAGTCAGGATGTTTGACCAATAAAAGATACTAACTATACTTAACATTCATCATCAGTTTAACACATTTAAAAAGGAAATGTCTGGAGTATAGTATGTGTAGTTTATTTGCTCAGGTGGTATCCTAGCAACATCATTGAGCTTTTCATTCAGTCTTTGCACACAATCACAGTATCTTTCTTCAATTTACCTCACGATTCTTAGCAACAAGCACAAATGCAATAGTTCACTTTTCACTTTTTTTGTTTCCATAAGTTCAAGATTCACAAATTTCAATCTAAACAGAGGTTTTCATGTTTTTTGTAGGTTTTCCTTTACTGACTCATATTAAGAGCTACATGCAAATAGAAGATTACATGCAACACTGATACCCAGGGAAAGAAACACATTGACACAATTAGTTAATACTCTACCTGGTCTTTCGGGATTTAGTAACGGTTTAGTAATCGGTTTGTAGATGCTCTGGGAACTAAACCCACTGGTGTATGGGCTATTACCAGCCATCGGGCTATTGGGAAAGGCTGAGCCATAAGGACTCGAAAAGAGACTCTTCCAACGGTTGGCTTTTGTGGAAAACAAGCAAAGACACAGAGTTAGTTTTGAGAAAGCCTACATGAAATGCTAGTTAACAAACAAAACACACAGTAAAGTAACTCATATTTTCTGAAAATTACAATTACTTCTGCTTTCCATGTTCACACAGCACCATATTCAACTGCAACATGATTTTTAGCGGTGGCGTCTATGACGATATTCATACCATAAAGTTATTTTTTAAGTCATCAAAACCATCTTGTTCAAAAGGCATGGCAAAGCGAAAATACACATCTGTCTTTAGAGTACACCAGGCAAAGAGCTATAGTTCCTTCTCTTGTGTAGAGACTGGGTAAATAAGTAGTGTGAGGTACAGTGTCTCTATTTCTTTAATAACTGAATTGATGCATTTAAAAGAACAACCAAACAACAACTGAAAACATTCCAAACATAACTGTACCTGGTGTGAGATGCCAAATGCTAATTCTACACATTCACCAGCAATACCATCCCAATCCATTCAGTGGTCCATTGGGGAAGCAGGAACACCTAATAACCTCAAAAAACACATCTGTCACTGTATCCAACTCTAAAGGAGTGTGGAGGACAGCACTACCTGAGATTTGAAAACATGATTTAAAATATCCTACCTATCCAGCAGAGAGTTGAAAGACTAAACCTCCAGGCAAGGTTTTGTTAAAAATAGCATTTATTTTACAACATAATGTAATGTTCACAAAGGAAAAATGTTTGATCTGAGCAGAGATTTACCTTGCTCCTACAAATGTATTTTGATTCCTTTCAGAGTAATTTTGCATTCCCATAAAATCCAGGCTCTGATTACATCAATGTGAATGAAGATTGGATGCAAGATTGTACGCTGAGTGAAAAGAGGGCCTCAATTTGACAACATGGGGATTTTGGTCTATATTAACTTAAGGCAACTGCCCGGGCCTTTTTGTGATTAACTTATTCCCCAGCAGAAAAGAAGTTCTATGAATTTTGATTGTGCAAGATACCAAACTGTGTTACCTTTGTAGACATAAGGAGACATAAAGAAGTCACCTAACGATGGGAGACTGAAACTTATACATCTCAGAGGACAATAAAACTAAACATTAATTCTTGTTTGGAGTAATATAATGGAACCAATTGTTGCTGAATGTTGAACAATTGTACTGGAGGCATTTAGGGATGAGCACTTATGCCAAGGTATCCAGCCTGCTTCAAAAGGTAGTAAACACTCTGAGACTCCACCCAGCGTGGAGGGCGATATATAAACACAAGTTGTTGTTGTTGTTGTAGTACTCTTGCTTCTGAGTCAGAAGATTGTGGATTCAAGTCCTACATTGTCAGAGGTGCCATCATCAGATGAGATGTTAAACCAAGGTTCCAACCGAGACAAGTTGGTTGACTTAGGTTACCGGTATTGAGGCCTGGACAATGGATTCATTTAAGAATCACTTGCAAGGCGAGTGCTCTAACCACTGAGCTACAGGAATATACCAATAATTGTGGAGCTGTGAGGTTTAGAAGCAGCTGCAGAAACTATAGCCTTAAGAACAAAAACTATTTTAATCTGATAGCTAAGTACAGTTGTAACCATAAAATACTTCACGTACAACAACAACCACAAATTACATTTTTATAGCACCTTACACATCGGGAGGACGTCCCAAGGCAAAGAGAAGGGTCTTGAGATGTGTCTTGAAGGAAACAAGGGAGGGAGCAAGGCGAAGGGACTGTGGAGTGGAGTTTCAAAGGGTGGGGGCAGAGAGGTGGGGGCATACAGGCGTACGTATCACTTGGTACATATCATTTGGTAACATGGAGTATTTTACTCTTTCTCTCTCAAAAGCAAGACTTCATGTTTTACAGTTTGTAAGTCTGTGTTGGATGAGCAGTTGCAGTCAGTTGAAGTAAATTCTCACTATTCGTATGGCATCTGTCCTATTCATAAAATGGATAATAATAGCATACCACAAACAAAACTGCTTTTAGATAGGGCCATTCATGTGGAAAAAAAAATCTCAAAGTGAAGAAGGCTCTTCGACCCATTTCATCTTTCATAACACTCACCTTACTTTAAAGTATAGATCAAGCTATTTTGTAAATGAGTCCACTGTCCTAGCTTTAACTATCTTTCCAAATAACCAGTTCTAGTTGTTGATTTTGCTAAATGCAAAGAATTATTTCCAAGTGTCTGCCCAAAAATTCTGAATCTGGGGCCTCACTGCAGCATTAATGTATTTCAAGCATTGTTTGGCTTTAAATCTTTTATATGTCTGTAAGGTCCACTCTTAAGTGGATAGGCCCTACCTTATCTACTTCCTCATCATATTCATAGCTCATCTCTCTAGTCCTGAACTTCATTGTTCTCCTCTGCAGTTCCTTTGGGCCTGGAAAGCCTTACGTTATGTTACAAGAATACTTCAGGTGCAGTCTGCCAGCTTCAGCATATCACATGGGAAACTGAACTAAAGTGAATTGGCAGTATAATGTAGAACCCTGTTTGCATTGTGTATTGCCATTTCACAATATTTGCACAAACGCCTCCAGGTTTCTTTCAACTTCCCTCTTGGAAAGTTCTGTTCCATCCAAGAAGTGCATATGCCTCCTATTTTTATTTTTCTATTCTACAACCTAGAAGCTGAGGGCGTTATCTGTCAAGCTTTACTAATAAGATTTTGGCTGGCTTCTCTGATCCCATAATTGTTCTCTCCCTCCACCCAACTTGATGTCATCTACAAATTTAACTATTCTGAATTTACTGTGAATCATGCTCATCTACAAAGGAGGCATTCTAGTCGGGACCATGTTATCAAGCTCCTCTTACGTCTATCACTATAGTCAGCCAGTTACTATCCTATGAATATATTCATATCATACCCTTAAAGCACACTGATTTAATCCATTTATTTAAGTTTTAGTTTTGTTTTCATTCCCTTGAGTGTATCTATAAACTCTACTTTGTTAACGCTACAATCTCAGAGTTCAGGCAAAGTGCGATGGATGTCACAGAATTAGTATTATTGGCACATTAATCTTTTATATCTTTGTCATTTCGCTTTGTGACTTGTAAGGTCAAAACAATTGATTTTTCCAAACCGTTTGCACATTTAGTTTGGAATTATTAAAATAACCCCTTAAGAATTTGAGGCCATGAACATTCACTTAAAAAGAATGAAGGAGAAATCAAAGAGAATTAGATTGGGACTGTTTATTTTATTAAAACACTCAGATGTGCATTATTGAGCAGACTATTGTCTGAACAGAGTATGCATATCCAGCTACTTAAAATGTACCCTTCACCCATCAATACTGAGATTATACCATAAATGCTATGTTCAGAGCTTTGCCTTGATATCTTACTCACCATAATTTTGGTTCACCCGCTTGTGGTTTTATATCTTAAATGCTTCAATAATTTACCATTGGATTCAGGAAGATTATGGAGAAAAATACATTTAGAAACAATTTGATCTATAGTTCTGGAAGACAGGATATATGCTGATTGTGCAGTATTACCTTGCCATCCACCCCTCTTGACTCTAACTCCCTGCTTGGATGCAAACCCTTCACTGTTCAGCATCTTGGGACATCCTCCAGACATGAAAGGCGCTAAATAAATGCAATTTATTGTTGTTTTGAATTTGGAAATTCCAACTATACTGGCAATACTGACCAACTGGTGTTATTTTTGAAAATTTCAGTTAGAAAGCTGTAAAAATGCAGAATTATACATCATTAGTGTGAAACTGGATTTAGTTTTACATAAAATTACACAGCACAGAAATTGGCCAATTTCCCCAACTAATGTGCACTGGTGTTTAACACTCTACGCAAGCCCCCACCCCTCTTATACATTGCCCACTCATAAACTCTTCTATTCCGTTCTCCTTGAGGAATGCATCAAGTTCCCTCTTAAATAAATGGTTGTTTTTAGTTTCAGCAGAGCTTCTCACATCTATCTGGCTATCTTATATTTATGTCCCTCGTTTTGCACTCACGAACAGTAGACTCAGCCTGTCCACATGCAGTTACTATTCTGTTCGTTTTTATTAACAAAAGAACCCCCAACTCCTCTCATACGAGAATGCAAAATGCTTGCCATATGTGGCAAGTTAGAAAGTCTGTGAACTTTGATCTTAATTTCAATTTGTTCCCTAATGTGCTGAATATTAAATGAATGTCACAATCAAGCTTTTGTTTTTAATTGCTGATGGGCACAGTGGTGTACATATCAATAATCTACTGCATCATTTTGTTGTTTGTGTGTGAAGTTACTGAACTTCATTTGTTTGATAAAATGTATGTAACTCACAGTAATAAACATGTTTTTCACCTTGCATTGTGTACAAAGCTAGTCTTTTTGTGTAGGAAATATGCAGAAAGTGGTGTTGGTGCCTGGGAATAAATTAATTTAGCTATCTCCTGTTGTGAATTAAATACATACATTTAATATTTTTGATGTTGATGAGAAACTCTGCATCTCAGAGTTTCCATAAACGATGGAATTGGAACATATTTATTAGAAGTAAGAACTTTCAAATCTTCAAAACCTGTTTAGACAACAACAGGAGTGTACAACCATAGCCCTTTCCTGAGAAAAAGGAGAAATGTAGCAAGAAAATGAGAAAAAGAGATTTTGATATTAAGCATAAAAAAAACCATGCCCTTTATTCTTTAAGAGGAACTATAATCTTCATTTGAATCTTGTTCAGGATAATTGGCCCATTCATTCATTGTTTTTATATTGTGCATGTTGCTCTTTTAGTATCTGCTACTTATTGTTTAATTTTGTGATCTTATCACTTCTGATTGTGAACCAATGGTCTCTAATGCAATATTATTATTTCAAAGAGAATTTGGTAATGGCATGTGAGACTATGAAAACCTAACAAGCATGGGGTAATTGTCAAGCCCTCAAGAACACAAAATATAAAAAATGTATGATCAAGTGCTCTGGGACGCGACCCTATCTGTATCAATGAAAGCTGTCCTATCAATCAATCAAGCAAGCTGCTAT